GGTTAACTATACATTGCCATGTGTGTGTGTTGAGGTGACTTATAGCAATTGTACAAAAAACACAACATATTAAAACCAGAACAAAGCTGAACACAGTTAGAATGTAACTGTATGGTACTCACTGACCTTTGAGCAGAAACAATGTTTAAAAGATTAATCAAAGTGCACATTTTAAACAACTCTCTTACTTAAAGTATAACCGATCTTGGTTATATATCCTGTGGTGTAAAAAACTACAATTCGCACATGAGTGGTAAATTACATTCTCCTGGTTGTCAACATATCTGCTTGCCACCAACCAAGGTCTGCACAGTTCCACCGGAGCAGCTAATTGTTTGTAACCGCATGCTTTTTCACTCCCATTGAGTAAATCCGCCCCTTTATGTCAAATCTGAGACAGGATAAGATTTATCTGGGACCACGGGTGGGTCAATCTAGTGCTGGACCAGGATCAGGGTTGGCTCTGCTCAGGTGACCGGGGAAACTTTAGATCAAACTTTTAAAATCCAACAGCTGCCCCGACACACATAAAAAAAGACAAACAAAAGTTAATCATGTTTTTCCGTGTAATCATTCCATCCTGTCCTGCTGTCAGTTATTTTAACCTCCAGACTTTGCTGCCTCTAATCTTCCGCCCTCTGAGGAATTGACAGCCGATTTCAATAGAGTGGTTTAAAACACATTCACACCCTGAGGCAGTTTTAAAAAGGCTTGTTTGATATTAAAATCACAGCATGGTAGACAAAATTTCATTTTAATTGCAACCCTAATTATTAAATGTGTTAAATCGGTTTGCCCCCTGTTCATTGCTGTGCAGATTCGCTGGTTATGGTCCAAGGTTTTTGTACTGAGGTACAAAATCGGACCAAACTGTGACCTCAATGTACTATAGAAGACATTCTTTAACAGGCCAAACAATCCACTGGCACACATCCCACACAATCCCACACAAAAGAACGCACAGCTGCCACCAGCACACACACACACACACACACACACACTGTCAACCAGTCTCAGTGTTTCTTTCCTTTTCTTTTAATTCCTTTTTACTCAACCTTCCTATTTGGCTTCAGATCTTTACACTTTTTTTTCTACTAACACAAAGCTGCCCAGAAACCATGGCAGAGGTGTTGTGAAGGATATCTTTTTTTTAACACTTCTCTGCCACCCAGCTGGACATACTTCATTGCTTCCTGTGAGTCAGCAGCTAATCACAGAACATATCTGGAGTTTAAAGGCCCTCATCATGGTGGATAAAGCAATTTACCCATTAGGACGTATCCATTGGGCCAAAACCCAAAGTAACTTTTGAATTATGCAACTCATCACTTCGAAACTCAACTTGCTATTCCTGCTCATTTAATCAGACTAAAGGTTGAAAGCTGGATCGATAAGCATGACTACTTCTACTAGGAGAGGACAGAGGAGGAGAAAGAAGAGGAGACAAGTAGGAGGGGGAAAAAAAGGCATTTGTCAGGAGGATGATGATAAGATACAAGGTTAAAAGATAAAATGGAGAATGGAGAGATGGAGGACTGGAGGGACTGCTGAGCTGGACCGTCAAAAGGTGCGTTTAGGTGCTTCTGTGTGAGAGTATGGGGAATTGTATTGATCTCAGACAAACATGGAAGGTTTACTCAAAATGTCATTTGCATTGACCACACTGGAGAACGCTGACGGCCACACTGCATGAACCCACGTACACCTGAGCACACAACCCGGCCCAAATGTCTCTGTAATACCAAACCAATTTCCCAACTTTGCCTTGACACACCTCCAGAACAGATTTGGTCCTGACTTTTCAACTTCTAATATTCATAGCATATCAAAATATGTTTGGTATTACCGATTTGGGCATTACAACTGATATGCTTTAATATAATTTTCAACAGGGAAGAGAAGGTAAGTGAAAAGCCATGGGTGCAGATGTGCAAACTTAACAATGTGGTGCATATGGTAAAGGCGCCTTGACACTGAGCTATGTGGAAAGCTTGAGTTGAGACAGTTAGCTCCCAATGTCTTTCCTGACCAGGACTCTGAATGATTGTCCGATGAGGTATGAGTCAACTATGAGAGTGCTTTCCCCATGTTTGACTGTAGATAACAGGGTGGGTGGCTGACCAGGCCAAATGCTTCTAAGAGATCAGGGGGGAGGTGTGCATAGGGGATTGACCTTCTGCTCGGACTTCTTTCAAAGCTTCTACTACAGACAGCAGAACCGTTTCAGTAGAGAGGCCACGCTTAAAGCCAAATGTGTATGTGTGAGGAACTCTGCAAGCATCATAAGTCACTAACAAAAACAATAAAACATCACTAATTCAAAGAGACACAATAGAGGACAGGAACGAAGCACAGAGCTGTGAGGTTATCCAACAGAGAAGAAAAAGAGACCCATTTTTAACAAGGGGAATGAAAGTGAAAGTAACAGAGATATCAGAAGAAGGAATAAAGTGTGATAAAGAGTTGAGAGTAAAGGTGAAGGGAGTGTCAGGAGGGGAAGGGGAGAAAGAGGGGAAGAGGGAGAGAAATATAGAGGTTACTCGAAGTGAAAGGGTTATGTAAGTGTTCTGGCCCTGTTCATCAGCTGTCTGCTGGGACGGCCACACAAACAGACAAATTAGGTGGATAAAACACACACACACGAGCATGCACACAGACATCTGTGCGATCCTGTGCACATACAAACATGACTTGTTTAATTGTGCAATCAAGCCGTAAATGAATGTGACTTTCAACTGGCACACATTGTAACATAATAGGATTTAAAGTTACAAGACCATGGAAGAAAAGCATTTTCTAGATGCACTCAGTTCAAAATGAGAAAAAAAAATCAACCTCTAAAGAGACATTAGTAAATGCAGCCCACTGTGACTTCACTGAAGGCATTTATCTGATTCTTTCCTAGTTTTACCAAGTTAATATGCATCCTTTAATGGTGCTGCCTTTGCCAGCGGCGATGGACAGTCATTGTATCTCTTGGTATAGTCTTTATTTATTACTTAGGAAGCAAAAACTCCCACCAACCACTCTGTCTGGTGCTCAGTGTGTCTGTCTTTCTACATCAGATATTTACCTTTCTCACCTCTTGTACTTAAGAAACTTCATTTTCTGCTCTTATGTCTCCTTCAGTTCCTTTAAGTATCATCCCCTCTCATCCTTTCTCTCCTTCCCTTGCACTGTTCTTTCTCTTCGGCTCTCATCTGTCTGGCAGGAATCCTCTGTTGCGGAGAGCTGGACTCAGCGGGGGCACCGGCAAGCGGATGGAGAGGGAGAGACAGAAATCATCTTGGAGTTTTTTCTGAATCTCCATCCCTTTCTAAATCGCGTGCTCACTTGATCCAGCTAGCCTTCCATTTTTCCTCTTCTGTCCCATTAAATCTGCCTTTCATGTGTGCTCACTTTGTAGCCGCTCGCGCTTGTTTCGGCTCATTGTCTCACTCAGTAAAATTATTTCCTTCACCACTTCTCCTCCCTCTGCTCCCCCCCCCCCCTTTTCCGTTCTGCTGTGTGCAACCTCAAACGTTATCATGATCCTCTGATGAGCCTCATCAGGGGAGCGTCTGAGTCACCCGCAAACACAACTAAATGCAACGTGTGCAGAGCCTGGCACACGTCGGTGCGTGCGCACGTTTTAAAAGTAGAAACTGGGGCAGACTGTTCTCATGTCCATTCTGCTGAAATGGTTATGTGTTTGATAGCCATTTTCAACAGACTGATCAAATGGTTAGATACTTTTAGTGACATAATGACGTCAGTGGCATAATGGAACCATGTAAACACTTCGGCTGATTATTTCTTTCTGATTGGAACAATGGTGCTCCATGTGCAGATGAGGTGGCACAAAGAATTTCCAGCAGGACATGAACACAGCCAAAGTCAAGCTAAATGAGTCTGTGACGAGCACTCAAAGTCTGAGAGGACTGTTTGAATACGGGGGCAGGTCTTGAAGTTTAACCCACAGTCTTTTGAAATGCTCCCAGAGGAGGCATGGGGTGAAGAAAACTGTAAGCTGTTTGTAAGAAGGAGCAGGGGGAGGCTTATTCACAGTTGGGTTGAGGCTAAAATTGGAAAAACAATTTGATTAGTCATTTCCAGTAGAGTAGCAGGATGGGACCCTTTGTTTACCAGGAGACTTTAATGTTTTTATTGTTGAAGTAATCATGCATGTTTAAATCCCTTTGTTGTTGTAAACATCTGGCACGTTAACATGTTACACACATTAATTGCGTGTTACGTTCTGTATGGAGTCATTTCAAGTGCACACTCATTTACTCATGAGGGTTAAAGAATAATGACTCAAAACATGTCACGGTGTGATTAAAAACAGCACAAGGTTAGTAGCAAGACATGACAAGTTACACAGTGCCAAAATTAATTTTCCAGCAGGCAAGCCTAAAGGTAGAAATGTGAGAAAAACTACAAATTGGGGGGGCAAGTAGCTGGCAGTTTCTGATCATTTAAAATGCAAAAATATGTGGATTTATAAAATTGGCTAGTCCAGCCTCATAGGCTTGGATCAGATTAACTGTCTAATGTGATGGATGACATCTTTCTCAAAGAATATGCACAATGCATGAACAGACAGAGTGAAATGCTGAAAGAAATTACACAGACATATGGAAAATATGCAGGAATCTTCGAGATATAGACCATTACTTCTGCTTTTGAACTGACAGACTAACATGATAAATCCCCTCAAGCAAGGCAAACTTCCTTTTCAGTAATTGAATAGCCAATAAGAACAGCCATTAAAACAAGCCATTTATGGACAATGGTTGAGGAAAAGACAAATTAAACTGGCCTACATATAAATAAAAACACAACAGCCACGCTGCTCGCCATGTCTTTTACTAAAGCAATTAAGCTATGAGCCAACTATTGATAAAGATGAAAGATAAAAGATAAAGATAAAAGCAACATGCACATGCATGGGCTGCCCACAAATTTTCTACATAACTGACTCACACAAGCTTGAAATTACAGCTGTCTGAAAAGAGAACCTAGACTCTTTTTATAATAAGAATGATCCTCCCCTTTACAGGCAGCACTGGGGGGCCGATCCCTACCTCTTTCTGGTGGTATTTGATGGCGAGTTTGAGCTTGGCCAGGTCGTGGCACTGCCTGAGATCCAGTTCCTCACTCTGGTCGTTGTCTCTGTGGTTCAGGATGGTCTCAAGTTCTCTGGAGCTCCGGGCCTGATCCAGGAGGTCTTTGGCGAAACGTTTGCACTGCTGGGAAAGCTCCTCATACTCTTGACGAAACTCATTCTCCACCTGAATTGAGAGACACGTTACAGACTCTGTAAGTTATAGAAAAAAACTGAAACATTTATCAGGAGGGCATCCATAACTTTGCCTTATACGGTCTGATACCATCTGATTCAGCGACGTGTTGTGCTGCTATAAAAAAAAAAGAAGACACATTTGATATAAATATTTCTGAAGCCTTTGATGTAGAGACTGCAACAGAAGAAGTGCAGGCCTACTCTTTTTATCTACAATAAAACATCGCCTGCAAGGGTGATTCCAGGGATTATAGGGTTGTTTGTGTAGTTGCAGGGCTATTAGCTATAGCAAAAGATGAAAAAGAAACTCAGAGAAGGGTAGACTCCATATTCCAACGGAAGTGAATATAAGGCTTGAAGCAAAAGAGAGTGATAAAGATTATATGGGATGTTGCAGCTTTCACAGGGGTTTTAAGAGCCTGTCAATTTCAGAATGTAACGACACGCCGATAAATTTAGGAGATGTGTATGGCGAGTCGATGCCAAGGTGGACCAGCATTTTATCACAATACATAAAGTAAATGTCTCGTTTGTAATGATGAAATAAACTCAGATATGATGTGACCAATTATGAGGGAGAGGTACAGAGAAAGAGTGAGATGAGCTAGAGCCCGGTTCTGACAATGTGGCTAACACTCACTTACAGGATACACATACCTTGCTGAGTTCTTTCAGTTCCCAGCCCAGTCTGAAGGCAGTGAGGATGGGGTCCTCACTGGAAAGTGCGATGAGAGAGGGGGAGGCTAGCGCCTTGTAGATATTGAGACGGGACCGTGAATGCCGAAGGCTGTCGACCTGCATGTGAAAAACGCAAAGATATGAAAAGGATTCATATTATTTACGACCTCCTTTATTCCACATTTTCAGACTTTGGTAAATAGACATGGTGATAGGTCTCCATTGCCATGTTACTTGATTAAAGAGAATTCACAGCTGGAGCTCCGCAGCAATGAAAGCCCACCTCATTGCACTGAGATGAATATAAAATGTTTCGTAACACATTTCTGTCAGACAGTTAGGACACCAAAATCTTTTAAATGAGAACCGGACTCATCCTGTACGGCTCATCCTCCATAAGAGCTAAAGAAATTACATTTGTTTCTAAATGTGCTCATTTGCCTTTGAGACAATATTAAAGAAAAAAATACTATTCAATCTGTGAGCTTTGTTAATAATAGAATTAAATGGTGAAAAAAAAAAAAAACATTGACAGACATATATACACTCAAAGCAAAGAAGATGAGGTATCCCATCAAGTGTAAATTCATTTGTAGAATATTGAAATATCTACAACTTAAAATCCATAACACCTATCAAACAATTTACTGTTGCAAACATCACTTGCCTCTGAGCTGGATACACACTCGACACAATCACATCGAATCTGGTGTGGTCTCGGGATGGTGACCTACACGGAGAGACGAGATGAATCACTAAATCCCAGCAAGCACATAATCCTTTAAAAAAATCCTGTTGTAATCAGTGGATTAGTGTCATCACCTTTCTCTGGACGAGCAGCTTGATGATCTCATAGTTGTTGGTGTGAGCAGCGAGCATGATGGGAGTTATGTCTGGTGTGAACTCTGAAAACTGACTGTCCATCATCAGCGAGGGAACCTGAGGTGAAACAGAGTGCAAAAGGGCGCCATCATCTCCTATTTCCATGTTGATTTTTGGTTAAAACTAAATTATAAACTGACAGGGAGCAAAATCAATTCAAAAGAGCACTTCCTGCTAAATCAAAAGGCCTTGATTCAGCTCTCTGTGCACTTTGACTGACACCATGACTCTAAGTTGTTTAAAATAAATTACATAAATGGGGTTTATTTAATAACAGTGCTTTTCTACACATTTTCTTGCATAAGTGCGTATCATATTGAAGCAATTAATAGAAGAACAGCCATCATTTCATAAAAGAATAATTAAACTGAATGTATGGGGAATTGGTGTGTTTACATGGAGGTATAAATTATGTGGGTTTTAGGTACATTAATCAAGCCTTTGTGACACCACCATTGCATCATCTCTGCAGCTCTGGGACATTGAATTCAGTCATAAATAAGAAGATTAGTGCCTCTTGTTTCAGATCATTTGAGCACAGTTACAGACAAGAACAGTAATTGTTGAATGGCAACATGAGATGTCATTTTTTTCTGCATAAAAAGTGGATGGATGGATGTCCTGTTTAGTACTGATAACCAAGGTCTGCATTCTTGTCATTTTCAACCAAGCACAGAGGAGCTGATCCACAAATTGTAAACCTCAACTATATGCATTAAAATGTATCCACATGTACTTCTCTTTCAAAGAAAAACTAATATTCTCTCCTAGGTTTGAAAACTAAAGATAAGGGCACAATCAACGCAGAAGCGCCAATATAACTATGATGTGCTACATGCTCTTGGTTTCCAGCAGCTCTGGTCTGGAGTTTCAATAGTTGCTTAGGAACCTCAACTCAACAATAACTAGAGTGCCAGCTATATCGTGGTATCTAAAAAGAATGTTTTGGTGGCAGTGATCCCATTCTGTATGAAATTAATAGCAGTGACAGACAATCATAATACCCGAGTTGGCAACCAAGTGTAATCAAACTCAACAATAAATATATATATGATGAAACAAAACACTAAACTTTCTCCCTCACACTTCCAGAACACTTTTATAAATAACCCCGTTGTTTAACATCTTAACATTTAATAAACACAATATTGAATACCAGATTTCTGTTTAGAATTTTTTATTTCCCCATCTGTGCTTTACAGTTATATGACTTGTATACAAGATAATTTCAGTCCAAAATAAATATCTAATGATACCGAAACTCACTAGTGCTGTGAGTGTCCCATAATGTACATGGCCAAGTTTAACATTTCTTTGTAATAATCGAAAGGAAGCACTAAAGGAGTTAAAAAAACACATTTCACTATGTTTTAAACTAACTGGTCTCACTTACATTCATTTTACAGGTAGTTAATTACTAAAAAAATGTGCTTCCGCACTTAAAATGTAGTGTGTTGAACCTAAAAATGTCATCTGCAGATGGGAAAGAGAAACCGTGTTACAGCAGTGGAGGGACTGAACACAAATGGACTCTCATCTCTCAAAGGAGGGACCTCTCCTCCTCCCTGTCATCTGAACTCTTCTTTCTTATTGGATGTCTGTCATTTCCAATATCCCATCTCACCTCCTCCTCCATCCTTTTCTATCTCTGTGTCTCCTCCATTCTTCCTCTTCCTCTCTCCCCTATCACTCCAACACAACTCCGCATATCTCTCTTCCCAGATGTTATCCCCGACTTTCTCTTCATCTTGCTGCCTGCCATCTTTTCTCTCCCCTATGCTTCATCTTCTCTCTCTTCTGTTTATTCTTTTCCAGTCTCCCTCTTCCCCCCCACTGCCAAAAGCTTTTTAACTCATGCGTGCTCTACCTCTCTGCTCCTCCTTTTTCTGCTGTGCGAGACAGAGGGCCAGAACAGTGGGGGGCATCCCACAGTGATTAAAGCGACAGACACCAAACACAGACAGATGTAAACAAGTTCAGGCAAAAAAGAAAAAAGCCCAGGAGGAAAATTCTACATCTGTTTTCAAAATCTGTGCATGAAGAAGGAGAATCTATAGCATGCAGCCCCCAAAAAGAGCTTCAGGGAGAGCAGGTCACGCAGTGAAAGGGAGCTGCATTTTTATTTGGTCGCGACCGCACTTCACTGTGCATTCCAGGCTATGTCTGTTTGTTCCAATATCTTTTTTATGTGAAAGCGCACAGCTAAAAAGGGGGAGTTCTTAGATGTCCGGCCAGGTAGGGTTCTAATTGGGTCAATACATACGTATGTGACAAGCTTACAGTTCACAGAAATGATTAAATGAACCTAATATGGATCATTTGTTTGTTTGTACCAGGACCTGACTGAACGTTCTTTATGAGTAAATTTATAGTTGTCTCTCATATGGATCTCATAACAGGTGGCCTGTATAAGCTAATGCCTCTCTGTTACCATGGCAGTTACACTGGAGGAAAGACTGGAAAGAAAGTGTTAATCTTTCTTGAGAATTTACAGTTATTAATCAAACTGGACGTTTTCCAAAAGGCAGTCAAGGTGTCTGCAGTTTGAGCTTAATTGGCCTTTTTACTATGCAATATGACGGAAACGGCTGGATTTGCTGATATGGCACAAGTATTAATCAGACTGAGTCTCTTCGAGGTTTGAAATAACTCAAATGACATGGAAGTGAAATGCACCAAAACTCAAGATTTAATAAGAATAACTGTGAACACATCTGAAGTTGTGCATCGGCATACAACAACTTTACTCACATATAAAAAACATTTCCTTATTCTCCAGTTCTGCACGACCGCTTACAACCATCCATGTGCTTTTTTACATTTCAGACATCAAAGAAAGAGAAAGAGGGAGCTTTGATAGCCTCATCTGCATAACACACGCCCTAATGTCCCTAATTTCTCTCTCCTTCCCTTCATTGGATTTTTTAGCACAACTTTAGTTTATTAATGAGTGAACAGAATCAAACTTAGCATGTAATCTAACTTACAATGAGGCCTTGAAAAAAAAACCAAAAATAGTGGACAAAAATAAGAATGAGAATGTGCAAAACAGAAACATGTCCAGCTAAGAGGAAACCAAAATCTTCCCACAATCCTTAGCACTGGCAAAGGTATGGTTACCATGGCGATATGGAGCGGCACGGCCTCAAATCTGTAAAAAATAATGCACATGGAAAAATCTTCTCTCTCAGAGAAAATCACGGTCCGTATCCGCCCCGTCTCCTCCTGTCTCTGACATCTTTCATTACAATGGAAGCCATTACCTATTCGCCTCTACTCCGTTACAACTTTCACCGTCTCACTCCTTTCTTGTCTCTGAACATCATCTCAGCTTTGATCCCCCCCCCCCCCCCCCCCCCCCCCCCCCCCCCCCCCCCCCCAACGCCTACACCTTGGCTAAAAAGCACAACTTGGTATTTTACTCTCGTGTTTCTCTTGCAAACAAACAAAATATACAAAGAAATGCAGCAGGCAGAGAAACATACAGTCTGCCTCTAAATCCTATTTCACAGTTTGTCTGTTAAATGAGCCGTTCAATTTTCCTCCTCTCAGCAGAATGCGACATGGAACATTGCAGTGAATGGATGCGCAGCTCATTATCCTTTTATCCACACAAACAAATCCATTAAAATTGAAAAAACACACAACCGGGTAGACTCACAGATAACATATGCTTAGACGGGCATGCATGGAGGTTCCTGGACGCAACATGGTCACCTCAGGCTCTTCCTCTCATTGGTCCGTACCTGTTTCTCCCCGCTGGGTCTGCGGTGGGACAGCAGCAGCTCCACCGCGCCCACCACCTCCTTCCGGATGGCGTAGAGCAGGGCGTCGCCCGTGTGGATGCCGTGGTCCAGCAGGAGCTCCATGATCTCCAGGTTCTCGTTCTCGATGGCGATGAGGAGCGCGCTGCGGCCCAGCGGGTCCAGGCAGTTCACATCCATGTTGTAGTAGACCTCCGCCTCGCGGAGGGCGTGCTTGACCCCGGCATAGTCCCCTGTGGAAAAGAGCGGAGGAAGGAAGGGTCGGTGGTGGAAATGGAAAAAAGTATCCGCCAAAAAATCTTCAGCTAAAGTAAAATTATTAATGTTTAATGTGCAATTTAAATTATGTAAAATATTAAGAGCAAAAATAACGCAGCACACACTAGGAGATCTTTTGACTTTTAGTGTGTAGTTTCTTATGTCTACAAACAGAAATGGTCACTCATTTATAATGGATATAAGAAAAAAACCCTGCCCTCAGGAGGCGTGAGTGACACGGCTTTTAAAAATACATGCATGCCATTTGTGGTTTGGTATCACAGCTCATTCGATTCTGATTCAGCAAAATACCCACTTTCCTTAAGATATGAATGGAAAAGAAATTGTTTTTCCTATCCACCAGAAATACAAAAAAAAAAAAATCTTATTCTGAGTGAATAGTGTATAGCACCCTTCAGAGATGTGCTTGGGTGAAAGTGGTGCTGAGTGAAGCTTTTTTCTGTCGAAGGACGTTTGGACGAGTGGACAGCCTGTTGCAGAGACACCTGTGAGCTGCTGCTGGCGGCCGAGTAGCCTGACTGAACAGCTGTGCGGCCTTCAGCATCACTTAACCAGGTGACTGGAGGTGTGGAAGGCGGGTAGGCGGTGGTGGCGTGGGTGGAGGAGGCTGTCTCCCAGACTTAACATCCACAGACGGCTGTGTCAGGGCGTTTGGGACGGCGCTTACCTTTCTCTACGGCGGTGAGGTAGGCCCGCTCCTCAGCAGACAGCTCCACCTCAGCTCGGACTATCTGAAGCGGGATGCGGTCTCGGTACGGGGAATACGTCGCCTAAGAGCCAAACACAATCATTAAGGAATACTGGTGGATTCCATTTGCTGATAACAAGCTCCTACAGGCTTTATTGTATGCTTTTCCAACCAGTTGTGACAATCATCATCCCATTTAGACTTTAAACAGGATTACAGCTCTAACAAACTGTTTACTGTAATTAGACAAAGTATTTTTCATTTGATGGCACATATAGACATGATATGTCTAAACATCAAACCACTTCATCAGTAGGTCACAAAGGTCAGAGGAAAGCTGATTACCATGGCTTTGATTTGGTGAGCAATAAAGAAGTATAAGATAAATTTAAGTGATCCCGGCAGCACCAATGTCAGTGAATAAGACGAGGCATGCACCGTTTTAGCCACTGAAGTTGCTAACTAGTGCCTGTTTGACTCACCTTCTTGTAGTACAGCTGTGTCATGGGATTCATTCTGCCAGCCTGGAGAAAGAGAGCAGAGAGCAGAGAGTTAATGCAACACGACAACCCATGAAAAGCAGCGTCCAGCTCAGGAGAAGCGTGCTCGATGGTGAAAGATGCAGCTGCGAGCTCGACTCGATCAGCCGCTGGATGACACAAGTCCAGGCTCTGAAGAGGCCGTCCAGGACAAAAACTGTGTTTGTATTGAGTGCGCATGTATCATTACCGCAAACACCTTTAGAAACATTCTTTTATTGCTCCTACAGAAGTGCCTGGCTAAACACTCGACAGCCTTCGAGAGATTTTCCTGATTAAACTGGCAAAGGCTTCTTGACATGCAGCTTTTTCCTTTTGATGTTGCAAAACTGTAAATAGCCTCTGCAAATCGTTATAGCTTTTCTGGTTGGTGTAAACATAGAGGAACCTTTTTAAAAAAAAAAGCAATTTTTAGATTTTGATGACTTAACGATGCCAGTTTGAGTGAAAAGCAACACCTTCTCCTGTTCGCTGCTGACGTCTGAGGCATTGTGGGCGGGTTTTGCCTTCAGCCTTGAACTCAACTGACTCAGTGGGTGACATGGATGGGCCGGCGGCCGAGGCTGCGAAGATTAGCGGCCCCGCGTTCATTCAGAACAAAACGTGGCGCGCAGACCGCAGATAAGCCTCGTCCTACCTCATTGTGTTGCTAGTCTCACTAAGATGTGTAATCCTCATAAAGCACAACCTCCTAGAGAACGCGGAGCTCCGCTTGTTTGCACATTTGTAGAGGCTTGTGTTTATTTGTGCGAGTCTTTATCACATTGACTTACGCCCCACAATAAGCGCGCATTTGTTTACTTTGTGAGAAAGCTACAAAGACGAAAGATGCACTTAGAAGGTTTCAGATTTTGTGGCGCAGTGTGACATCAATTCTCTATCCATTGGAAGCTGTCAAAATAAATACGCCGGAGGAAGACAATCTGCGGACGTCTGAGTTAAAAGAGCTAATTACTGACGCTGTGGGGAAAAAGAAAGAACCTTTTGTCAGTGGCTGCGACTGCTGAGGAGCTCCTGAGCCGAGGAACGAAATGACTTGAGATGTGCCGTTAGTCGGGGCTGTAATGAAATCTGTGGAAATGGAGCCCGTTTCACATCTGAATATCATTAGTCACACACGCTGAACATAAGAGGCCAGGGGCAAGCTGCCTTATGGACAGGTGCTCTTATCCAGCTGTTCTCTCACCTGCACAACCACCAGAGGAGATTCATCAAATCTGAAATGTGTAACTAGAGAGCAGTTTGGTTATCCGGTCAGGGTTCTTACAGCTGCCTTCAGACTCCTGAAACTGACTTAGTTATCTTTATAATGTGAGCCAACCCAAACCCAAGACCTCTGGTCAATCGAAATGGGTTCAGTCATTCAGAAAACTGTTCAATTTGTTAATGGGCTTGGTAGTTAAACATCCAGCTGTATAGTTAGCTTGTTCCTGAACTTTAGAGGCTGAAAGCAGAGAGCACAAGTGCTTGCTGAGGTTTCTAGAAACTATCGAGAGCTTGACTGAGATTTCGCTGTTGCCTGCAAATGCTCTCAGTGTTCCTGCGCCAATAGATTAGCTCAGATACATCTGCATCTGTGGATTTCCGATCAATCGGGGCAGCCGTTTCCAGCAGTCGCACAAATTAGATTTCACTGTTGGTCAATATGACACCAGTATAACTTCAGCTGTCTAATTAGAGCCATTACGGACCGTTTTATTTGGAAACAACATATAATGGCAAACAGTCCAGTATATTAAAACGACATTTAATTCATCAGTGAATTGATTTTTTCAGTGTTTTCAATATTAACTAGATTATAAATATATATTTAACATGAATTGTCCAGATTTCTTCCATACATTCTACCACAAACAGTTAGCCATCGTAGTAATTATTTTCGTCAGGACACATCTGACTGATCTGAAGCAGTCTGCTTTAGTTCAGTTCCTCTTTGTGCAGACAGCAGGAACTGGTGAACAAATCAAAAATCTAAACATCGCATACATCTGAAAATGAGAGAATGTATCCCCGTTGCAGAATCTAATGATCTGAGTGAGCCTTCCGGTCTGTGCCAGACAGCAGGCTCATCCACAACAAAATCTTGCAGATGATGACAGAAATGCTAATGTCCCCGATATAGTTTAGGACTCAGCCTGACAGCCTGAATTTAATCTATTACTGCAGTGGCGATACAGATCTGCATTTCAACCAGCCTGTAATTGGTTTGGCGATGGCAGAAAACCATGATGGAGCAGTTTTCTTTTTTTGTTATTTTGATGCGCTGTCGCATGTATACAGCACTGAAGTTTACAAGAATGAAGAAATACCAGTGTTAGCTCAGCAGCAGTGACCAAAGCTGGCCAGAGGTTTGTTGTTATGCATAAACAGGGACAAATGAAATGGAAACCATTAAAACAACGCGCAGAGTGTTCTGTATCTCTTCGTTGTACGGCTCAAACAGCGCTGATAAATGAGGCATGCATGGCTACAGGATATTTCAAGGTGTCCTCTGGTTTTCATTCCCTTTTCTACCATGTGCTGGAGCCATGCCAGAGGTGGTTAATTCTAACAACCAACACAAAGTCACTACATAGAGTTATATCAAGTGAAAGTGTGTGGGGTATTTCAGGAATGGTTCATATAGTCTGATGTTCCCTCCATATTGATGTCTTGAAATGGAGATTTACAGAAATGTTTGGGCATTATCCACCATGAAAATAAGTATTTCTGAAGCAGTATCTATTAACATAACTGCAAACGTTATTTACACATACTTGTTAAATGGAACCTGTGTTCAGAACATCTTCCATCACTTCACCTGTGTCCAGCTGGTCTTCATGACCCTATCCCCCAGATCCTGATGTCAGTTTTTTGTTGCTAATTAGTTACGGCACAATTTGTCTCCGTCAGAATCTGTACTTTCTTAGTCAAAGCTGACAGAACTGCTAGAACTGCTTTTGAAATTTCAAATTTTGTTCGAAATGTTTAAAGTCAAGGTATTATGCTTTATTGTTTAGTTTTTCTTAATAGAGCTGCTGCTCTAAAGAAGTGCTGCTGCTCTGAGGGCACCTGCTTGGTCAGGAGTAATCCTTCATGGGCAGCATGTGTACCATTAGTCTCCACAAAGCGAGCCAGGACCAAACTCTTCCCAGCAGAGCGTTCCAATGAGACGAGATAATCAATTAAAGCAACTTTAATGTTGCGGCAGATCGTTCAAGTGGAAAAACAGCACTTTAATAGCCTCAGAAGTCTCACATTAGCTTAAAAGCCACATAAGAGGACCATTGGAACTACTCACTATTTAGGATTTAGACATTTAAGTACGGTTTTCTTTTAATTTTTTTTACTGTATTTGGTTGTTGTCTCACAGATTAAGTTTTTAATTTAGCTGAAAAGAGAAGAAATAACATTCTTACATGCATGGAGGCCACCAGTGCTCCCACAAAAATGCACACGGCTCGTCATCCTGTCAAGTTCCAGCACGGCTTGTGACTTTGAAGAGGAGCGACAAACCACTGCCAGACGGTCCTGAATCTGACCACGGTGCCTTAGACATCCCCGGCACGTCCCGCTGTCAGCTTATCCGCGCAAACACATCGAGGAGGCCTCTTTTGGTTCAAAATCAAAGGTCTCCTCATTAGGGAGTGACACTGTGGCTGATTCAAAGTATCAAGTTTGTATAAAGAGAGAAGAGAAAGTCTTTGCTGTCAGCTCCCCCTTTATCAACAGATGACAGACAAATTATTGCTTCCAGTTACCAGAACTGACAGCTGCGCCAGAAGTGACTGACTCTCTCACTGATAAAGACGGTTTCCATGGTGCTTCGAGAGGGGCACGCTACTGGGGGTTATTTACAGTAGATGTTTCATCAGCCGTCGGACCTGAACGCAACAGGATGTGTGCAGAATCATGAACACGCAGAAGGTTGTACGACACGGTGGAGGTGAGTCAGCTCTACCAGCCAAACAGAAAGAGACGGAAGGAAAAACTGTGACCTCACCATCGTGTATGTGAGTGGCCTTTGTGCAGTGAGTCATAGTTTACAATTGTTTTCTTAATTTGTGGTTCATTATTCCACAGCCAACATGACGTTCAGACTCCAGGGGATGTTCAGATCACTCAGAAAGAAATCTATGTTCAGATCACTGAGAAAGAAGGAGACGGATCCTTCTTCATGTACATTTGTCTGGCAACATATGAAATTTAAATTGTTCATAATGTGTAAATGTGACTTATTTACTATATTTGCAGGCCACCACTATTCAAGATGGGAAACATCAGTTTGTTACATGCAGACTTTAGTAAAAAAAAACACCTTAGTTCTATAAGCAGTACTGTGTGAAAACCCTTCAAGCCAGCTTAATCAATACAGCCACATTGGCAAGGGAGTCCCTTAGGTCATTTTTGTTTTGTTCTAAACATAATTCACTGCCGCATAGAGAAATGTAGCCTGAAAGTTTATTATTCAAAGAGGACGCCATTTATCCACCCTGCACAGAAACCAAAGTTTCAGGTACTTTTAAGATGATGGGATGCCGGTCACTTCATGAAAAATATGAAAGAAAAACAAAAAACATTCAGGCTGTTGGCACAGAAAGGTGAATAAAGCATCTGGGGTGTATCGGTATGTCTGAAGATACCAGTTATGGAGAGGCTTATATTGGAATTTTGGAATTGCATTGTCATCAAGCAAACATAATTTTTCTCATCTAGGAATCACTTTGTACGTTGACATTTTTTTCTCAATTTATTTCTCCTTTATGCTGCATTACAGAGATGACAATCACACCAAAAGCATGCATTCTTAAGGACCTGAAATATTGCCTTCAGCAAGAGTTGAGAAAGAAACATTTGCAAAACTACTAGCAGAGTCATTCAGTGCAAATCAGATGACAAATTATTAAAAAAAGAAATTGGGACTAAGGCTGACGGAGCACAACCCAACTTTTCTTCTGCCACATCAAATAAAACTATTGCCTCTGTTTTCTAAATGCAATGAAGTTTGTCAGCGGTAGTTTGTCATGGGTGACATTACTGACAAGTATGGCAAGGAAATGGATGTTTTTCAAGCATCCTAGTACAAATGTTTTGCTCTGGAAGGTCACCATATCAGAGTGGAGAAGCCAAACCCTTTTAAAATGTCAAAT